TTATTTGAGATACAAAAGAATAGCTATTCAGGAAGTACTGATTCAGGCTGAAACCCAATTTGTGTTTCCAGTAGGAGGTGAAGGCAAGGGGTATTTATTAGAAAGAGAAGGGGAATACTTGTTCATGAATAGAAGGAATGAATTTCTGTGGGTGGAGCTAAGCTAACATAGTGATGCTAATTCTAAATAATGTCTTTAATTTTCATAATGTATGATTTCCTGTTTTCTTTGCAAACAATTGTTTGGACTATAATGCTGTTTTAGGCCTAGTCCAAAGGTTATTTTGCCCAGTTTTAACACTCCAAAGGTTTGAAGAGTAGGGGTAAGACTTGCAAGGTAGTTCTTCTCCATTTTGGCAGCTCCAGCTCCTTTGAAGTGGCTCTGTTTATACTGTTATTCACAATTCCTATTGGAGATATGTGTGCATGTGTTTTCGTATAAATGCTAAAGAACAGGGATGATGTTAAAGACATGGAACCATCTTCTTTTGATATTTTTAACTTTAACTGTATATATATATGTATACACACACACACACACACACACACACACACACACGACTAGCCCTAACTTTTGTGGGGTTGGAGCAGTAATATACAATAGAGGTCCATATACCATTTACCTATGTATTTAAAACTTAAAAACCAATATAGAAGACTGGTAAGTAAAATACATTCTATTAACTTAACAAATACATTTTGTTAATGATGGGCAACACCAGCTTTGGCACTTAGAATGCTTGAGCTACTGAGACTTACTCTCTCCAACGTGGGAGTGGGAGTGATGGGAACAGCTTCATTCTCGTTTTTGTCCGGCACCATGAGGGGCCTCATGTCCACAGCCTGTTGGTCTCAGGCTGTGGATAGTGATACTGTGGCTAGAAATGCCTGAGGCACTCACCTGGGCGCCTACTATTGTGGCAGCCCCCACAGACATTTCCCGGACTGGAGCCAGTGTTGTGGTTGCATCATCCCTTATGGTTCTTACTATGATTTTAAGACTCACCTCAGCAACAGCCATCAGGGAACTTTGAAAAACAGATTTATTATTCACGGATTCTCAGCGTACAGGGTATGCCTGAGGGCAACACAGCAAGACCTTGGGTAGAGAGAGGGAGAGGGCGCCAGTGAGCTTGGCCTGGAGCTTTGCCTTTATTGGGGTTGAGGGTGGGGTGCCGTGTGTTTTGTGAGTTCACTCTTTACTGGAGGATTTAAAACATAAGAGCAGGAATTAGGGTACAGTTGGGGAGAAGCAGGGTTACTCAAGCGGCCAGTTATCTAGGTTACCCAGGGCTTTCTAAAAAAATACTTCATGTATAGGGAGGCCTGGTTTCTTATCTAATTGTTTTACTAGTAGCTGTGTCATACAGCTGGCTTTATGGTTATTCAAAATGGATGTCTTTGAATGGTGCCTCAGCAATCAAAAGCTTAATGTAAGGCATTTATGTTATAATCGAAAAGCTTAAAATCAGATACTTACACTAGAATACCCCAGCTCTCGGTTTATATTCCACTCACAAGTCTTGCCGCCTGTGGCCACCCCTCAGGCCTTGGGATACCCACATCAGCTCCTTGGTC